GACACAGGAAAGCTATCGTACTATAGCCTTCTGTGCAATGCATACTGATTTAAGAAAAAGAAGAAAATTTGATAGGATATTGTGTGTTTCTGTTTCAGGCAAGAGTTTAAGTTAGTGTTAAAATAGATGTYCTTTTCTCTAACAGTGCGATTGGGTTATTCTGCTGCTGCTGTGTTTATGCAAGTTGGGTGAATTGGCATTGTTATTAGATTTCCTTTTCTGTCTCCTTTGCAGAAGAGGATGATGCMTCATTAAAGAAGAGTGAACTTATTAATTGGTATCTAAAGGAAATTGAATCTGAAATAGAGTCTGAAGAGGAGCTTATAAACAAAAAGAAGATCATAGAGAGAGTCATTCATCGACTCACACATTACGTATGTACACAGATGTGTGGATACTGAATGGGAATTTTACCTTAGCATTCATTTTTAATGCAGTCTGATCTCCTAAGTTGAGAAATATTGCTAACAGATGCAGTATAAATGCTTCCTTTATTTAAATCTCTGTTAAAAATAATTACAGAGAAAACACTAAAATAAAATAGAGGAAAATATATATGGAAAAAAAAATGAGAGTCCTTACAGAAGTGTAAGTAGTATTTTTCTGTACTTCTGTATTAGTTCTACATTAGAATAAAAAATGCACGCAATTTCAGTAGTTTGTTTTAAGCTTTATTTCTAGAGCCTTATTTGAAACAGATCTGTGAGGGAAAAGTTATTCTTTTCCAGAATCAAAGTGTTTACATATACAGAAGTTACTGATTTCAGATTTGTATTTGAAGTGTGGGGTAGTAGGGCAGTTTGGAGGAAAAAATACCGAAATATAAAATGCGCAAAATGTTCTTAATTTTAAAGATACTGGACAGATAGACTGAGGTGTTCCCAGAAAGTACACTATGTCGAAGAGGTTTTCACTGAAGATAATTACTAAGATCTAAGAACTTATTAGAAGGGAGCTTACAGTTAAAAGGGTTGAATAATTCATCAATAGAAGGTGCTATCAGTATGAAGATCAGATGACTCCMAGAAACTAGAAATAATCTTTTTTCTTCTTGTCTGATGATTGATTGTTGTTTGTTCCAGGACCACATTCTTATAGAACTGTCCCAGTCAGGACTGAAAGGCTCCAGAGAAGAGGAGACTTTTGATGAAGACCCCTACCTGGTGGTCAACCCTAATTATCTGCTGGAAGACTAAGAGCTGAGAACTGACTAGTTATGTGTTGGAAAGTGCATTCTCTCTAAATTCTTGCAATAGTTGCTATATAGCTAACATCTTAAATTTGTACAAATGCTTTACTGTCAAATGGACCAATATGTGGTTTGTAATATATGATTGTTCATATACACTGAACTTACTTGGAATATTTTTAAACAAATTGACATATTGATGAATTGGTTTCACTGCTTGTYCTGGGTTTCCCTGCAGTCGTCTATATGCAGAGGAGGGTCATTYGATACCAATTTTCTACATTATGCTATGTAGATGCTTTTGTTTTAAATGAGAGTAATTTTGCATTATTCTTTTATTGTATTTAGTAAACTTTTTACGTCATAGTTTTTCACTGTTTTTCTTATGAGCATAAATAAAATATCGTTAAATATTTGCAGATGTCTGGGGATGGCTTTGGTTTTTTTGTGGTGTGTGGGCTTGCTGTTTTCCTTGCCTSTACTTTAATGCTGTAAAATTAGTGATCTGAATACATACTATTTTATGAAATATTTGATCTTCTAGGTGACACATGCTGTTTTTAGTAAGGTTTTTAAAACATTCTTGAAGTACTAAGGGATAATTATAAAATCYGACCGCGTCTCTCTTTTTTCAGATGGACTTTTTGTGTAAGTAATAAGATTCTGAGCTAATTCCTCTGTCTATCCCAAAACTAGGAGCTGCTAACAGGAAAGAGAGAAAAGATTGTCTTAAACAGCTCCACTTCTGAACCTGTTTTAGAATCTGTTGTTTCATAATATTTACACTTAGTATATATAATTTTGTTATTTTTCCATGTACTTAAAAATATTTTTAGGTGTTGATATCACACTGTTAAGGCACTCATATATATAAAATGATAGCACATAAAGGAGATAAAAAATCAAATAAAATATTTTCTTCTATAAAAGTCTAATAATAATTTTGCAAATATATGAAATAAGAACTTCACAAATCATGCCATCTTTCAATTCACTTACAAGAAGTTAAGGCGTTCACCAAAGATAGGTGTTTTGCCCTTCTGGCCTAAAACTTTCCTTTAGTCTTGGCTATTTTGAATATTCTATTTTAAAAGTTCAACAGAAACTTACACAAAAAGTCCATGATTAGGAATTGATATTTGGTTTTTATTTGCAGGTGGAGGTATTTTTTATTGCAATTCTAAGCCCATCTAACTTAACTGAATGCCAAGTTACTTCAATAGTTGAATCCTGTGAACCTGAATTAATTTGAATTTGTGAGTTTTCAAGTATTAGATCATACGAATGCTGTAGTGTTGTCTAGTTAAATCATATTTGCAAGTCATTCATCAAACTCTTTCTGCTTCCAGATCTATCAGGTCCAGCTGAGTTTTTAAGAGGCTTCTTGGAGGTTGAGGAGATAAAATTGAAAACGATTTAAACAGCATAGCAGGTAGCAAGGGAGCAGGTTAGTCTTGAAGTTACTGAGACCAACAGCACTGGTAAGAACTCCCTGCTATGTCAGTGCCAATTTGGGGAAGACGTGTTCCTGTTTTATGTAGGAATATTTTTTCTTCTAAAGCTATATGAAATCTTGGCTTGTGACATTGTAATTTAGCTACTAATTCCAGAGCAGAAAGAAAATATGATCGTKTCTACACAAAAATCATAGAAAAGACTAGCTTGGAATACACTTCTGGAAGTTGTCTTCTCCATCTTCTTGTTGACAATAGAGCCTTAGAATAGGTTCTCCAACACCCTGTCCAGCTGAGTCTTGAATGGTTCCAGGGAGAAAGATTCCCCTGCTTTTTAGGCCAACCTATTCCCATGTCTGCAGTAATGTGTTTCATAAGTACTTTCATCTCCTGGAGCACCAGACTTTACTACTGATATGTATCCTGAATGTCTATCTGAAAACAATGTTTTTAAATGCAATGTCTATAAATATAGCTGTGGAGCTCTTATCAGTGCCTATAGACAAGTACACTCATCTTTCATTACTGGAGACTAAGACCTTAAAGTGATAAAGAAAAGATCCTATTGTGCCCAGCAAAAGTAGCATGAAATGGAGACCCAGGGAAGTAGTGGTGCAATCTTCCTTTAGATTTCTAGTTCGGAGCTTAGATCCTTTATGAATTTGGTAAAGAGAGGTAGGTCCTTCTAGAGGGCTAAGCAGTACATCTAATGAGAGTTCCTGCTTCTCTCCATTGGCTGTGTAGAGGGAATCCTACATTATATATAAATATGCCTCAGTCTGGCTAAGTATATCATGGCAGGTAGCTATTACATTTGTGGATTGGGGAAGAAAAAACTACTTGTCACCAGCACTGTTGAATCAATGGGTACTAACTTGTAGCTGCAGTAGCGTTTCTCCATGATTCCTTTTATTAGCTGCATCCTGGCAAACACTGTGTCTGGTTAAAAATGACCATCTATCTGCAAAAAAATAGTTGTATTCTATATTATTCATAATTTGCTTTTGAAATAAGTGCAGAAAGATGTTTGTAATTAGGTGTGGACTTCTGCCCCCTGAATCTTAAACAATGAACACTTTTCACATGGAAAAATAAAATAATTTTGCTTCTTCTTTCCCACCGGTATAATATACTTTCCTGGGTGGAAAGGATTGCATTCAGTTTTTGATGGAGTTAACATTGCTCTACTGAAAAATAAGCAGCAGGCGGTGCTGTGTATTTCCTATTTAAGTATTTGTTACATCTATCTGGGGAAAGAAAAAGAGTTCTTGGCTAGGTGTTGGAAACAGCAAGCACAGAATTTCAGTAGATTTTTAAGGCTTTTTTAGGGAGGAAAAGAGGAAAAAAAAAAGTGCTTCTTGAATTGAAGTGTTTAAATTACAATCCCTGTATAAGCAAAACATTGGCTATCCTGAGTTCAGTGACAGTTTCTACTGTAGCATAAATAATAAAGATGATGTTGTTTGATAGAGCAGTAAATTAACTAACTGCTTCTGGCTATGTTTCGGACAACACCTGGTTGTTAAAGGAAATARTTAATTTAAACATGTATATTAAGGCAACGTAGAGAGCGGGTTCAGCAAATGTACTCAGCTCTTCTGTTCTGCTGTATTTGAATGTAGCAAAGTAGGATTTTCTCCTCCTTGTGCAGCTCCGGTGACCTGTGTGAACTGAGTGGGTGATCTGTGTATTTGCTGTGCATGTGCTCTCAGGGTAGAGGAAGGAGGCCTATGGAAAGCAGTAAATTATACTGTTCAGCCTCCTGGAGGTTATTGAGTTYGGGGATAACTCCACGGAACACATACATTGTTGCTGGTTCCTGAATTTAGAAACCAACCACTTTTCCTTCCACTAGGTAGGATGCCACATCACATGTCTCCTTGAAGCACGAAGCTTCAAAGCACAAGCCCAGCTCCTTCCTGGAAGCCTGCCCTGAGTCATGGAGATGCCCAGACCTACCAGTGAGGGTAACTACTCCTGGTGGATTCTTTTGCGTGCTGGGATTTTTCTTAAAAAGCCATGAGGAGGAGATGAAAAGCATGGTCTGATTTTCATCATAACGTCCTCTAAAATGCAGGCCGTGCTACCAAATGACTACGCCCAAGTGTAAAGGGCAACCTGAGCATCTAGGAAATATTAATCTGTGTTTCCTGTGACCTTTTTCCAACTGATTGGTTGAGAGTGTTTTTACTTTATTGCTTTGGATAAATAAAGTAATATAAATAAAGTCCTCATAGATTATCACTCTTGTGCCAGCTTGTTCTGTGAACGCTTCTTTGTGTAATCGATAGTTTAAGTTAAATATTAATTCTCCTATAGTATAAATAATATGAAATAATTCTGAAGCAGGGCCAGAGATGGGGCTGGTAAATAAGATGATCTTCCTTGTCTTGTTAGCCTTTCCCGGTTTCGTGATACACAGAGGATTAACTCAGGATCTTATTTCCATTGCCGGACCCTGGGAGCTAGAAGGCAGTTTGCATCTACAGAAGCGAGTCCTGCCTGAGGAAGCTCAGACCCCYGTCGGAGGTGAAGCCCACAGCGACCCCTGCCAACAGGATCCTCTGCCTCCCGACCTACCCCGATACCTGTCCCAGCTCCGCGAGGCTGGCRCGACGCACTACAAAGTCTTCCTGCCGTGGGGCTGCCTCCTGCCGAAGGGAGACTCCAGGCAGCCGGCCGAAGCTCAAGTGCGGCGCTACCGGGAGCTGCTGACGGCGCTGGCCGCAGCCGGCCTGCGCCCGCTGCTGGTGCTGCACCGGCGGCGGGTGCCGGGCACGGTGCTGGCGCGCGTGGCGCGCGGGCCGCCCGCCGCCTTTGCCGGCCTCTTTGCCGAGTACGCCGAGTTCAGCTTCCGCACCTTCGGCGGCCTGGCCGGCGCGTGGCTCTCCTTCAGCGACGTGCCGGAGGTGCTGGCCAGCCTGCCGTGGCGCAGGCGGCGGGAGCGCGCGCAGGCCCTGGCCGCCGCTCACCGGAGCGCTTACCGCATCTACCGCCACGGGCACGCGCCGGCAGGTAAAGGGCGCTGTGCACGAAGCACCCGCTCACAAGGAATTTGGGGTGGGATACGTGGCAGTTCTGTGTGCGTGTGCCCTAGCCCTGATATACCCTCTGTCATCCCTCCAAGATGCACAGAAATGTTTTAATAGTAGACTCCTTCACATTGATCATTTCGATAATTGTTTATAACTTGCTGATAATTACATTTCACGTGAAACGTAGCCAAGCTGCTTGAGGAGAAATATGTAACATTTTGGCCTTTTGTGTGCTTTTCTTAAAAATCATTTGGTCACAACTAATTTTAAAGCAAACTATTATAGGAGAAGTCATGAAAAAGAAAGATCTTGTTTATAAGCATAATATAGAAGAGAACCCACTGGATAGTTGCTTTTGGATCCTCCTTGCAAGCAGCAAGTTATCATTGCTGCTCATAAATGATAACTTAAAAATCTTAAGACTGAGGAAGAAATTCCTTGAACAGCAATTCCTGAACTCTGCTGTTGGAGTTCTACTTTCTTCAACTCCCCTTTAAAATCACAGTGAGTGTTCTCTGACTTGCTACTTAGGGSACTGTTTCTGATGATTAACATCTTCAAAAATTTCCAGCTGATTTTAAAATAACCAAAATGAATTACAGTCTTTCTTTCATTTGTTCTTAATACACTAATAGGCTTCCCCTTTCTTTCAAGGTGGAAAAATGTCCATTGCTTTAGATTTGGATCATACCTTGGATGTCGCTTCATTACAGTTGCTATCAGTTTCTCTTCAGGTAACGCTTTAATAGAAATGGCTTCCAAAATAATTTCATTAGGTTAGTATTTTTTTTATGTACAGGATCAAGTGATCAAGCTCAACTGATCACAAGATCAAAGATTTCTGAAGTGGACTTTCCCCAAACTCTTATTTATAAGGCCTCACTGAACCTCATTGTTAGTTGCAAAGGTTTCTCTGCTTGATTAATCATTGATTCCCTCAGTCTTATTAATTTAAGGTGCAGTTGTAAATAATGAATATTAAATGCATAAAGTACACTTACAATTTGTGCTAATGCTTCTAAGATCTTGCATTGTTTGGAAAGAGAGACTAAGAAAAATCTCCCCAGGCAGTATCCAGCTCATACACACTGTATTGTTCAGGCCTCCCTTATAGCCATGTGACTTCCTATTTGAAAAACTTAACTATATTTAACCATGTCAACTATTTTATATGTTGTTAACATAATACATAAAAAAAAAAAGCCTCCAGGATTATTTTTTTTTATTTTGATGTTTCCAGGATTCATTAGACTTCCTGTCTCTCAATGTGCATTACAATTGTGGAAATGAAAGTGATTTCTACGTGAAGTTGGGTGAATTCCAGGTAACTTTGGGTACAATGTTAATGGAAAATGAACATTGCATTTCTATAGTGCTCCAGACTGATGAAGTTCCAATTTGCTTTCAGTTTATACAGCTCCAAATATGTCTGGAATTTGTACCCATCTAGCCGAAGGGAAAACTATGTCTTTAATACTTTTAAATTACTTTATTGAGATTTTTCTAAAAAGGGAAAATGCTTTAATGTGCTATGTATGATAAAGATATACACATCTAAGCACTCCATTTCAAGTGCTCCTAAAGTGGAGCTGTATRTTCCTAAAATGAAATATCAGGAGCAGAACAGATGAGATAAAACCATCATTGCTGTGATAGTTCTATTGAACTTCAGAAAACATCTGTAACAACTTACTTTGCAAATGAGGCCTGTTATAGTAATTCTCACATTATGAATCAAAAATAAAATCACGGTTTTCTATCTCTTGGGTATCTTCTGGAGGAACCTAGGCCTTACATGATCCTTGTTTCTGCAGTGATGAGCACAGAGGCTGTGAGCCTTGCTCAGAGCCATAAAGCAAAGAGAAGTACAGCCAGAAGGGACTTCGTAAGGCTTTGACTTATCTGCCTCTCCTGTGTATTGATAACAGGATAGTTACTCCCTATAAAGAGGAGAGTGGTTGACAGGCCAGAAATGAAGAGCAAGAAGTGAAAACTCCCTACATATCATCTTTGGAAAACCACTAAGGAATAGAAAAATGGTGAAGATTGATAGAATTGCAGAGGTGGAAAACAGACCATAAACAGAAGGGGAACTCTTGTGTTCTGTGAAGCGTTTCAAAGCGGTGCTGGTTTGCTGTGAGAGCTCAGGAAACAGCTGCATGCTGCTTGATGTTTTTCTGACTTAAAAACAGTGTCTGAAAGTACTGAAAATGATCAGCTGGTGTTCACCCATGCAGGAAATAACGGGAATGGCATAATTCTGCTGCCCGGGACTTTGAATTGCTCTCTCCTAAGTGTTTGATAAGCTGTTAGGCTGGTAGTTCTATATCAGAAGATGCTCTTATGTTCTAGAGCTGGTTCTGCAACTGCACTRCAGTACGTTTCAACTCCATGTCAGCAGAGGCAGTGCTAGCAATATTAACAAGGACAAGTTTGCAGAAGGATAGCACCACATGGCAGTGGCCACACTGTTATAGGCTCGTACTGATATTAAAACCTGTGAGGTATTAAAACCTGAATTGCATTGTTAAAATGGGTGTGATAAGAGTCACCCAGCAACTGAATGGCAGATCAAGGAGTCTTCCAGTAGGCTTGMTCTCTTTAAGGTCCCAGCATGGTGTATTTACTCCAAAAATCTGAAGTGGGTCAAACATATACGGCATCTGATTCTAAACAAGTAAACTTAATGAAAAAATATGCTTCCCTGTGCCTTCTCAATGAAAAGTTAAACACCAAATTTTTTCAGGATGTATGTTTTGATTTGCATGGGGCTTTTTTGTGGGATAAGAGGTAAATAATTGATGATATTTAATGCTTGCCTTGATTTATGAATCAAGATTCAAAGAACTTTCTCTGATGCTCTGATTTTTCTAGATATTTCATGTTCTGTGTTAAAAGGAACAAATGCCAAGAGCATGTTTTTACTAGCTGATCTGTACTTATTTCCTACAACTTTTGATTGTTTGACTTTTGATTTTGTAGAATATCTGGAAGGACACAGAGGTTTTGCTTTTTAGTGTGAAGTTCATTAATTGTGCTTCCATAGAAGAGAAGGCACTCATGCCATTGCCTTTAATTATCAGAGGTAAGTAAAATGTTTCAGGAAAGAGGAGGGTTTTTTTAGATAGGCCTGAATGGGAAATTACAGAGGAGACTCAAAGTTTTCAGTCTAGACAGTATGTGGTTTCTTTGTAGCCTTTTTCATTTATTTTTTATGAGAAAATGCAAGTGCATAATAAAACTACAGTGAATTGAACTTGAGGAAAACTGGGCATTGTTTATGGAGGAAAAGAAATCAAAAGGTATTGTGGGCATAACTAGTGTCACCTGGTATGTGGCGTCTAAGTTGTGACCGAGTTCATCGCTTCTGGTTTCTTTTTTTTTTTTTAGCCATTAATAAAGAAAAACCACGTACAATTGGGTATGACATTAATGAATTCTTGAGCTTCTCATCGAATCACGCCCCAAGGTACGTTTGTTTTTTTTCTCTCCCTTAAATCAGATACTATAAGAAGGTGGTGTTATGAAAAACAAGTGTGTTAGACAGACACAAGATTTTTAGTTGAAAAATCTGCTCCTAGTCTCTGAAAGGCCTGGAGCGGCCTGCTAAGTCTGGTCCCTATTAGAGGTAAGCATCTCATGTAATCCTCTTCCACACGCTCACCCTTAGTCACCCAGATTGCACCTTCAAGCCCTTACTAACAGTTACGTTTTAGTTTATCCAGTAGAAACCCATACAACAATTTAATTATGTGAAATAGCTACATACTGCAAGGATTGTTTTTTGCATCTTTGATTTAGGTGTAATGTGTTATGCAAAACTACCTGCAAAAAATGCTTCAGATCTGTAGGTCTTAAGCACCTCTGTATTTAACACTTTGCTTCATTTGCCAGCTGAATGACAATAGGTTGGATTGATGCAATGATGAAAGAGCTATAGCCTGCRTAGCATGCAGAGCTGAATGCAAGGCAAACAACCCTTTCATCTGCCTCAGAAATTTTAATAACTTTTTATTCTTCTGCTTCCAGCATAACAAATACTCCAAGGAAGAAGCTAGCTGCTGTTCTTGCCCCCCAGTCCTCCTATCAAACCGTCTGGGAGATGTTTGCTAACCAGCCTGAGTTGGAGAGGGATTCTTTTCTGCAGGATGTTTTCCCAACTGGTTTCCTCTGGGGCACATCCACAGGTGCCTTTAACATTGAAGGAGGTTGGGCAGAGGATGACAAAGGAGAGACCATTTGGGATCACTTTGGGCATGAAGGCCAAGTCTACATGAATCAAACAGCAGATGTGGCGAGTGACAGCTACTATAAAAGCAGCTATGATGTCTACCTGCTCAGGGGTCTTCGGCCCCAGCTGTATAAATTTTCTATATCCTGGTCCAGACTTTTCCCTTCTGGCATCAGCGCTAGTCTCAACTCCAACAGCGTGTTTTATTATCACCGGTTAATTAAKAGCTTGCTAGACTCTAACATTGAGCCCATGGTGACTCTGTTCCACTGGGATCTCCCACAAGCTCTGCAGGTTCTTGGTGGCTGGCAGAATGAAAGCATCATAGATGCTTTTGTACGCTATGCAGACTTATGCTTTGCCACCTTTGGGAATGAGGTCAAGTTCTGGATTACTTTCCATGAGCCTTGGGTTATCAGCTACGCTGGCTATGGCACCGGAGAGCATCCTCCAGGAATCACCGACCCAGGAGTAGCATCTTACAAGGTGAGATGAGGCCATCGCTAGGATCCCACAGCTCYTGTTGTTGTTCTCTGCCAGTTCTGTACCTCAGCTCTGCTAAAGCCTCATGTGGCCTCTGAGATTTGTTTTTGGAATATGTAGTACTTGAGATAAAATGAGGTGGTTAATGAAGTATGTCTTTATTTTTCCTTTCTAGAAGCTGGTGGTGATAGCCAGCTTCTTCCTCTGCTTAATTCAAAGCAGTTTCCCCGCTGCACTTCTGGCCATGGTTATTTATCTTGTTAGGGTTTCTTGTTTCAGAGGGAGCCAGTCTTCCCACACAGCTGTAATTTCAATTYTAGGAGTTCTTGTGCAAAGGTGTGTGACATACTTTCCTGTTTTCTGTCCCCAGGTGGCTCACACAATTCTCAAGGCTCATGCCAAGGTTTGGCACCTGTATAATGACAGATACCGTTCTCTGCAGAAGGGAAAGGTAGGGCTGGTGCTGAATTCAGACTGGGCTGAACCCAAGACTCCAACCAACCCTGAGGACGTGATAGCATCCGAGAGGTACCTGCAGTTCATGCTTGGCTGGTTTGCTCATCCTATATTTGTTAATGGGGATTACCCAGATATCCTGAAGGCTCAGATCCAGCAAGTAAACCAGCAGTGCCCCACAGCAGTTGCCCAACTGCCTGTATTTACTGAGGAGGAGAAGTCCTGGGTGAAGGGGACTGCAGATTTCTTTGCTCTTTCACATTACACGACGCGCCTGGTTAGTGCAGGGACTAACAACACCTGCGCTCCAGCCTACGAGAGCATTGGGAACTTCTCACTGCACGTAGATCCGTCGTGGCCACAGACTGCCTCCTCTTCCATCCATGTGGTCCCTTGGGGGTTAAGAAGGCTGCTGAAGTTCGTGTCCCAGGAATACACGGGGACGAAGATCCCGATTTACATAGCAGGCAATGGCATGCCGACAGCAGACGGAGGGGATGCCATTAATGACACTCTGCGAGTGGACTATTTACGTCTGTACATCAATGAGGCTCTAAAAGGTATGGAAAACGGGAGGATATTTTGTTCTTGTTGATTTTTTTTTCCCCTGCTGATGGCAACTCCTTATTTTATCGTTTCTACAACGGTTGGCTTTAAAACGTCACCATTTATGTAGTGATGTGAAGTCAACCACTTCTGCTATATCTAGTGTGATGTTATAAACTTGAGGCCATCTGGTGTCCAAATGTGGGATTTTTTCATGCTATTTAGATGAGGAAATAGCATTTTCATATAGGCAGATAAAGACGGCAGCACCTGAGGTCAGTCTCTCTATTGGAAGCCTGCTTGTACTTCAGCTTCCAGATAATTTGAGTGCTATAAAGTTGTTACCTGTGCAGGTCTTGAAGATTAGGATGGAACTTGTTTTCTTCCTGATTAGATAGGTGGATCTAACTGACAACACCCTGTACCATTTCAAGAGAGAATTTATAAGGACATATTTATTTATATATTTATAATAATTTATTATTGTTTGTACCTGTACTGAATTGTTTGGACCTGTACTGTTTCTGAATGTACCAGAAACTATTAAGATATGTAACAGTGTCTTTTCCTATTTCTGTGACAGCGGTGAAGCTCGATGCAGTTGAGGTTCAGTCATACATTGCTCGATCATTGATTGATGGCTTTGAAGGCCCAATGGGGTACAGCCTAAAATTTGGGCTACATCATGTCAATTTTGAAGATAGCAACAGACCAAGGACCCCCAAGGCATCTGCTTCTTTCTACTCCAGTGTTATTGAAAATAATGGTTTCCCAGCCAAAGTCTTGAACACATTTTCTACTTCTGTGGTATTTAACCCACCTGTGTCATCAAAATTGCCAAATTTAACAGCATCAGAAGTTCCCTCAAAGGCAAAGGTTGTTTGGGAGAAATTTTCATCACAAAGTAAGTTTGAAAGGGACATGTACTTCTATGGCACCTTCCCAGAGGGCTTCATGTGGGGCACGTCGTCGTCAGCCTACCAGATAGAAGGAGGCTGGGATGCCGATGGCAAAGGCCCCAGCATTTGGGATACTTTCACCCATGTCCCAGGCAACATAAATAACAATGATAATGGAGACGTAGCCTGTGATAGCTACAACAAAGTGGAGGAAGATCTTTACATGCTGAGAGCCTTAGGGGTGAACAGCTACCGTTTCTCTTTGTCTTGGCCTCGGATTTTCCCTACGGGAAGAAACAGTTCAATAAACAGCCATGGTGTTGACTACTACAACCGTCTCATTAATGGATTGGTTGCAAGCAACATCACTCCAGTGGTCACGCTGTATCACTGGGACCTGCCACAAGCTCTGCAGGACATCGGTGGCTGGGAGAACAGCTCTCTCATCGAGCTGTTTGATAGTTTTGCAGACTTCTGTTTCCAGACCTTTGGGGACAGGGTGAAGTTCTGGCTTACGTTCAACGAGCCCCACGTTGTCGCCTGGATCGGCTATGGCACGGGGCAGTTCCCACCCAATGTCAACGACCCCGGTGAGGCTCCCTACAGGGTTGCACACACCCTRCTGAAAGCTCACGCCAGGGTCTACCACACATATGACAGCAAATACAGAGCGAGCCAGGGGGGAATTGTCTCTCTGAGCCTCAATGCTGAGTGGGCTGAGCCAAAGACGCCGAGCGACCGCAGGGAYGTGGAGGCTGCAGACCGGTACCTGCAGTTCATGCTGGGGTGGTTTGCACACCCCATCTTCAAAACGGGAGACTACCCTGACGTCATGAAATGGAAAGTAGGGAACAGGAGCGAGCTGCAGCACCTGCCGTCGTCCCGCTTGCCCGTTTTCACAGCTGAGGAGCGCGAGTACATCAGGGGCACGGCTGATGTTTTCTGTTTCAACACCTACACCGCCAAAATTGTCACTCATGCAACAACCCGTCTGACGCCGTTCTCTTATGAGCATGACCAGGAAATAGCAGTGTCGGTTGACAGCTCGTGGCCTTCCTCGGCTGTTGCTGAACATCGGGCTGTGGCCTGGGGAATGAGGAGGCTGCTGAACTGGATCAAAGAGGAATATGGAAATCCCCCAATCTACGTCACTGAGAACGGGGTAGGGATAAAGACCAAGTCAGATGTTGACGACACCAACAGGATATTTTACTACAAAACATACATCGATGAAGCTCTGAAAGGTACCAGTTTTTATTCTGGAATACTGGGGGTATCTGTGCATCTTCCCCCCTCAAATTCTGCTTGATTCCTTCAACTAAGGAGTAGCTTTTAATCACTTGGTATCAATCYTGAAGTAGTCCAAACACCAGGCAAACATACTGTTTCTTTTTATACTCTTTTCCTTGGCCATTTACCCTTTAGTTATTTACTGTCAGCTTTATGAAGGTGTGAAGTGTCTGCGTATGAACTGCTTGTCATTCACTCACTGTGTGATACCACGGATGCTSTTCCACTGCTTATGGTCTAATATCTCTTAAAATCTATGCTTCAGCTTGCAGGCTGGACGGTGTTAACCTGCGAGGATATGCCACTTGGTCTTTGCTGGATAACTTTGAATGGTTGAATGGGTATGATCCGAGGTTTGGATTGCACCAGGTTGATTTTGATAATCCCAACAGACCAAGAACCCCAAAGCGCTCGGCCATCTACTACTCAGACATCATCCGCGATAACGGTATCCCGGAGTCCTCCGAAAATGGCTTTTTGTACGGGGAGTTTCCAAAGAACTTCTTTTGGAGTGTAGCAACTGCAGCATATCAGGTTAGGAAAGAGCTGAACTCAAACGAGCTCCTGTCGTTCTGGGCTTTGCTGCTAAGTTTTGTTTTGAGATCTTAGTGATTTGATGAGGCAAAAATCTTATTGCTTCTAGTATTACATTGATAAATTAAATTGCTGGGCAATGGTGCCAAGAAGCCTAATAAGGCTGAATTCTTTTTTAAGTCCTAATCTGGGGGTTTACTAACATTTCCCCACCACCCTGTAATCACAGATCGAGGGAGCGTGGAGAGCAGATGGGAAAGGGCTTAGCATTTGGGATCAATACGCTCATACTCCCTTGAAAATCAGCAACGATGAGAACGGCGACGTAGCCTGTGACAGCTACCACAAGATCGAGGAGGACGTGGCCATGCTGAGGGAGCTCAGGGTGTCTCACTATCGCTTTTCCATCTCCTGGTCGCGCGTGCTGCCGGACGGGACGCTCAGCTACGTCAACGAAGCGGGACTGAGCTACTACGAGCGGCTTGTGGATGCCCTGCTGGCCGCCAACATCAAGCCACAGGTAACAGCRCAAATGGCCTCCAAACCTGGCACAGTGCCGGAGTTAGGTGTTAGCCGGCCTCTTTTCAGTGGTGGACTGCGACAGGACTAGAGGAAATGGCCACAAGCTGAGGCACCAAAAGTTCCACAGGAACTTAAGAAAACACTTCTTGACAGTGAGGGTGACAGAGCCTTGGAACAGGCTGCCCAGAGGGGTTGTGGAGTCTCCTTCCTTGGAGATCTTTAAAATCTGCTTGGAYGCAGCCCTGTGCCACGTGCTGTAGGTGACCCTGCGTGAGCAGGGGGGTTGGACTAGATGACCTCTGAGGTCCCTTCCAACCTTAAGCATTCTGTGATTCTGTGATTATCCTGACGTCAAAGATTAAACCCTGGCTCTTGGGTTTTCCCTGCCTGATCCCCATGATCTGATGCCCTCAGGAACCTGTTGATCCCAGTGGTTTTTCACAAACCACAGGCAGGGATCTCACAGCTGCCTCARCCTCCCAGTCCCCTCAGCACAGTCTGACCTGGCCCTGTACAAGCTCTCCTTGTGGCCTTTGCTTTTTATGTGTCTACCTTTTTTTGTATTTTGTCATTTTTTATATTTATTTGTCTATTACTTCTCCCTGCCCTATTTAGAGGCAGGATAAGCAAGCATAAGCGTATAGATAACTATGTGTGTGTTTGTTATCTAGGACTGTTTCGTTTATTTGTTCATAGCTTTACTATGTAGCTGCTGTATCTGTTACTGAGATGATGTGGTGGGGTGGCTGGAAGAAAAGAGCCTCTTCTGCTCCATTTAGGCCCCTGCCCAGTGCCACAAGGTCCCCGGAAGGGAAGGGAGGTAGCCTGGCCACCTGGGCCACCCTCCCAGGTGGGTCGTGTCTGTGCCCGAGCAGACCTGTGTCCCCATGGTTGTGCTCTGCAGTGGTTGGGCTGATGCAGCAAAACAAGCCGGTCCTTCTAGCGGGCTGTATTTCACCTGTCGATGCAGGTGCAGCAATTCCTGCCTGAGCTGAGGTGTTGCTGTCAGAGGGGTGTTGTGGTTTGGGCTTGTAAGACTGAAGATGAGAGCTTGCCCTTCGCAGTGAGGCAGGCCCCTAGGGTCGGTCACTTCCCCATGTCCTACAGAAGCTGGGACCCTGACAAGGAGGTGCTTTACTTGAGAATGTGGTGATCCCTGAGAATTGGAGCCTGGCGCAGGACAGCGGGTCTGCAAATGGAAGCAGGGTCTGTATCCGTGGATGAGCAGTTCCGCTGCCCCGGCTGAGCCGCCTCTCCCTCTCTGTCCCTGCAGGTGACAATTTATCACTGGGACCTCCCGCAGGCCCTGCAGAACGTCGGGGGCTGGGAGAACGACACCATAGTTGAGCGGTTTAAGGAATACGCCGAGCTGCTTTTCCAGAGACTGGGAGACAGAGTGAAGTTTTGGATAACCATCAACGAGCCCTACAATGTGGCATACTATGGGCACGGCACGGGCACGGCCGCCCCGGGTGAGCGCCGGGCACTGCCCCGGGGCTGCGCGGGGCACAGGAGGATTGGGCTCCTGATCTGGGGGTGCTGAAGGTGCCTCCTGCTCCTCCTCACGGCCCCGGCTCCTCTTGCACCCACCTGCACAAGCACCAACTGCTTTCGCCACACAGACCCCCTTGGCAGCAAGGGGGAGGCAGGGGCAGAGCCCCCCACCCGCGTTGCTGCCTGTACCATCGCTCTCCCTGCCCYGCAGGTATCTCCCTTCGGCCGGGGCGAGCCCCCTACATCGTGGCGCACAACTTAATAAAGGCCCACGCGGAAGCCTGGCACGTCTACAACGACAAGTACCGTGCGGAGCAGCAAGGATTAATCTCCATCACCATCAACTCGGACTGGGCCGAGCCGAGGAACCCCCACAAGCAGGAGGACCATGATGCTGCCAGGCGGTACCTGCAGGTGCCCTGCTCCTCGGGTCCTTCTCTGTGTGCTGGGATGCCCGGGCCTCTCCCTGCACCAGCTCATCGAATTTGCTGCCCTCGGGCGGGTGTCTGCCTGTCTCCGCGAGTTATTCATTATGAATTCTGATATAAAGCAGCACATGGAGAGTAACTAGTTAAATCACGTGTCAAAGCAAATGTTTATTCCTCGTTTCTTGGTTTAGTTCCTTGCAGGCTGGTTTGCTCATCCTATTTTCAAAAACGGCGATTACAGTGAAGTGATGAAAACGAGGATTCGGGAGCGTAGTTTGGCTCAAGGCCTGAGCAAGTCGAGGTAAGGACAGAGGCGTGTAGCTATTTGACGTGTTACCTACAACTTGCTTTTCTGCTAGATTAAGAAGTGCCCTCCAGCAYGTCCAGCTTCTGGGGAATAAATTCTGCCAACCCTGGGCAGCCCCCTCTCGCTAGCAGCATTGGGAGTGCTTTAAACAGCGGTTACCCATGGACCAAATTCCCAAGGGGACCTTTCCTTCCAGCTAAAACAGAGCTGGGCACTTACCCCTCACTCCAGGGTATCCTTGATGTCCCTGACTCCCTTTCCTGCCCTATCGTGGCACGTAGGGCTTCAGTTGCAGGGCTCAGATCCCAAAGGGACATGGTGGCTCTGGGGTGGCCCATTCACAAGCAGGGCCTGTCACTTGCACATGGAAAAGAGCTCCTGTAGCTGCTGCTTGTTCCCCTGTTCCTGGGCTCCGAGCAGGAGCGCGGGGAGCTCCGCGAGCCGGGCAGGGGCCGGGGCCCCGGGCGCAGCGGGATCTGCGGGCAGCTCCCCATGGCCRCTCGTGTTTGTTTCATTCCTTTTCCTGTGCTTGCCAGGGGTCATGATTCCTTTTCAGGCCTGTCCTGATCCCTGCTCAGAGGCACCACACAGCCTCATCATGGAGTCTCCTCCTCACGTGCACTGCTTCTGAGCGAGCCCTGGGAGCAGAGAGCTTGGTTACTTCTCACTCAACAGCGCTTTCCATGTGCTGTTTATTACCTGTCCTCCTTGCCCCTTCCTTTGGGTTTTTAGAGCTCTTGATGTTTTATTTAGCAAACTGCAGCAGGGAGGAGGCTCTGTGCGAGCTTAACCCTTTGCATTCCGCAGCTGGGGAGAAACCTGCGCTCAAAGGGCTGAACATTGCTCTTTGGCTTTGTCAGATGCTCTTAGGACAAAAATATTTCTGACTCAAATGCACCTTTGAGATCAAACAGGAYGTAGGTAACTGGTAGATAACATCCATGTCTTTAGCTTATGTAAAAGGATTGATGGGGGRAGGATAGAAACAGAAGGGGAAATCCTGAAAAAAAAATGTGTTTTGAGGAGTTTGTGCTTTTCCATTGCAGACTGCCAGAATTTACAGAAAGCGAGAAGCAGAGAATTAAAGGCACCCACGACTTCTTTGGGCTCAATCATTATACCACCGTCTTGGTCTACAATTTAAACTACCCTGCGGCTGTTGCGTCCTACGACTCTGATAGGTAAGACATGAATGTAGATTCGTGGTCAAAGAAAATGTGTCCTCGTGGAGCCGGAGCCCATTTGCAGYGTAAGGTGATGGAAACCACGCGACAAACACACTGAGCTGTTGTAGGCAACACTAGAGAAAATCCGCAGGCAGGAACTGTGACTTCTGCAGTGATGGCCTTTTACAGACCTGATTAGAAAAGCAAATGATTACAACAGCACAAAAAAAAGAAAGGCAGCTTCTAAAAGCCAACACTTCTGAGTCTCTTCATGCTGTGGTATCAGTTTTAGGTGGTATTTATCACATTTTATGGTCAGAATGGAGTTTGAAATGTTAAACACCTGACTTCCTCATTTCTGGACACTGCTCCATTTGCTGTTGAGCAGTGGTTGGTTCCCTCATTAATTTTTTAACTTAATTTAAATAGCTGAATCACTTCATGTGTAAATATACAGAATTCAAGATTTTTGTTTAGCTCTGAATTTCCCTCCCCAGTTTCAAATGCTAAACAGTAGGACCTTGCTGAGGTAATTAAGGCCCCACCATGGAGGGGGACAGAAGCGCTCCTGTTTGTAGGAGCACATACCACTTTGGAGTGTAGCTGCATTGGGGGTTATAGGCTGAAAAGAGGAGGTGGTTTTAAAGCCCAAAGCCCCATCAGGCTTGTGCTGCAGTGAACTAACAAGCAGCAGCGGCTCAGCCGTAGCTGCGTGGGGCAGCCCGTGATTCCACGCGCGGTTCTGCGGAGCTCAGCAGCCCGTGTCCCCCCGCAGGGGCGTCGCCTCCGTGTCCGACCGCAGCTGGCTGGGCTCGGGCTCTTTCTGGCTGCACGTGACACCCTCCGGCTTCGGAAAGCTCCTCAAGTGGATTTGGGACGAGTACAAGTCTCCGATTTATGTGACCGAAAATGGGATTTCAGAAAGGGGAGACGTCGACCTCAACGATACTTGGCGGATCAATTACTTTAAGAGTTACCTTAATGAGGCACTGAAAGGTAAGGCTGCGTTTCCGTGTGCTCACCCAAGGCTCTGGGGAGCAGATGGTGAGGGAAGGGGATGAGGAGCTGAGATGCTGCACAGCTCCCACCTCTCTTGGCTTATTCCATGTCTGCTACTGCGAACTTGGGATTTAGCACAAGCTGCTCATGGATAGCCAAGGCACCAAGTGCTTGTTTGCTGCCTTTTACCAGTGAGCACCACATATGCATCCATTTAAACGCTACCTGCATTTCAAACGCTTTTATTCTCTTTTTATAAATGTTAATGAACAAAAACCTCTGACTTCTTAAGCGCAAAGCTGAGCAGGGTCCAGCCGTGGCTGCCCAAGCTCCCTGGCTGAGCGGTAGCGGTAACTGGGCAGGTGCCCAGAACGTGCACAAAGCAGCAGAGCGGGGAAAACGCGGGACAGGAGGGGAGGCCGGGGCAGGAGAAGGAGGGGAGGCCAGGGTTAACGCAGCGATAACCTGTGCCCGCTCCGGTGGCCTCCCCGGGCGCAGCCTACATGATCCAGGACGTGGACCTGCGCGGCTACGCAGCCTGGACGCTCATGGACAACTTCGAGTGGGCTGTGGGCTTTGCCGAGAGGTTTGGGCTCTACCACGTGAACCGCACGGATCCGGCGCTGCCGCGGCTGCCCAAGGCCTCGACCAAGTTCTACGCGCAGCTCGTGCGGTGCAACGGCTTCCCCGAGCCCGGCAGGCCCCACCCCTGCCTGGAGCCGGAGGTGCYGGGTAAGTGATGTGGAGCCGCGGGCGCGTGAGCTCTGCAGCCCTAAGCCCCAAAGATTCCCGGGACTGCGGCCTTTGGACACTCATGTTCCCTGGAATTAGGCACACTCAGCCTAGGCTGAAAATGCTGTGTGTAGTAACATGCCTAGCAAAGGGCCTGTCCCCAAACGCTGTTAAGTGAACCCAAGCGCGTGCTCCGGTACTTACRGTGTTGCTGAACCACAGAAACGCAGTAACCCCCAAACTTGTTTAAAATAGTACACTTACTAGTTAAGGACGCCGTATTTTGCCAAAGCCTTGGGGAATCCTCTTGCCTACTACGTTCTCTGAAGTGTTATTCATTACATAACCTTCACTGATTCTTTTTTTCCTAATAAGCCTAGGAAGCTTTTGGGGTGACTGCRAGGGTCACTGGCCCCTCAGCCTCTCAGGGCCTCCACTGCGAGTCTCGGTTGTGCCTTTATTCCRAATGACTCCCCCGTGTCCACACGAGCGGCTGCGAGGGGCTGAGCTCTGACCTGCTGCTCTTGTGTCCCCCAGAGCCGCTGCCGCCAACGCAGGCCAGCCCGGGGCTGCACAGGGCCGTCCGCTTCCTGGGGCTGGAGCTGGCGCCGCCCAACGCTGAAGCGGCCCTCTACGTGCTCCTGGCCCTCGCGGCCCTCGCGGCCCTGGGGCTCCTTCTCTTCTCCTTTCTCTATAGAAAGCTCTTCAAAAGATCCCGGGAAGGTAACACATGAAAACCACTAAAATGTAAGTTTTGTTTTGCTTGTTAGAAGGTGGGGAACAGAGGTGCTCTTCAACCTTGCAAACACCAACACTGTGTGGCACCTGCCACCAAGAAAAACACTACAGGTTAATGCTGCTGCTACTGCAGTTTAGTAGATCTTAGACCTGGCTTCCTCTCCTTCTGTTGCTTGCTTAACAACTTCAAACTACAGATATAAAATACCTTGACTAACTGAGCTGTTCTCATACATGACTGATGTGATTTCTTAGTTTTACCTTTGCTTGTTTCATGATGTAGAAAGTTTCTGAATTTGAACTTTCATCTATTCTTCTCCTTCATTATCAGAATCCTTTGAGAGTCTCAGTGAAGATCTAGTTTCTTTGTGCTCTTAAAACAAGTTTGTCTTAGTATAGGTGAAAATGAGCCTGGAAAGTACACTGCTCTAGTATAGCTACTGTACAGAGGAACTCTTTTTTCCATCGTGGTGTGGATGCTATATCCTTTATTTGATTTAAACAGTATTTACAGTATTTCTTTTACTTGTATATTATGAAATAAATTGTTAAAAATCAAAAAAAATTTGTCCCATCACTATGCCTTTACAATTGAACCCTGTGGTACCTTATTAAATAAAGCTGCTTTTAAATAGGAATCTGAAGTAGCACAAACACCAGGAATAAGTCATGTTTAAAGTGAGATGCACAATAAGGGGATAGGAGAGGGAAAGAGAGTTCGAGCTCTTTCCAGGAGGGAAAATTGTCATTATCCCCCTTCCTACCAGCATTTCCATTTCCTGAGAGACAGGCAAGTGTCGCTCTCCCTACAGCACAGTGCAGACCCAGACCGTGACGGGCGTTTTACCAGATTTCAAGCTAGGCCTGAGTGAAGTCAGCAAAGTGGAACAAGAGGGCTTTTCGGCTCCATTCTTAGCTGCAGTGGCTGGGCCTCAGTCTGCAGCCTTCCTCGGGGCGCAGAGCCTCTTCTGCAGGAGTTACAAGAGAAGCCAGTTCCGTTTTCTGAAAAACCTTTTATTGAGTGCTGCTTGGGGAGTTAAAAACTACAAGGTTTTGCTTGCAGCTGCAGAAGCGAGAAAAAARTTTAACATAAATTAGGTTATCGGATTTGCTACTTATAGTGTTTCTGAAACCCTCATCTTAACAAGTCATTGCCTACCCCAACCTTTATATTAATATATGGCCCTTTAGTTTACAYAGCAGAATATTTATAGATTAGAAAGTGCCTTCCTATGGTAACAGGGATAATGATTATGAAAGCCAAGGGAGACTTTTCAATCTTTAATTCCTTAGAGCTTCTACCGGCCTTGGCTACCCTCCCACTCAATTCTTCTGACTTAGGCAACTTTATTCCATGCTCTCCTGCAGGAATAAGAGTTTTGTAGTTCAGTCAGTGTAAGATAAGCCTTGCATGTCCAGAAACTTCAGCTGACTTAAATCAAATAAAGTAAGAAGGGGAAAAAAAAAAAAGAAAAAAGAGAGAGAGAGAACACCAGACAGCCGTTATTGCAGTTACTTAAAACTACATTTGTTGTGTAGAGTTTCCATTCCATGTATTATTTTCATCTTCTCCATCATCTTGAGTCCTCAGTCTATAGATTTTGCCTTCTTTTTTGAAGTCTTCCCCCCGCTTTTCCATTACTCTTTTCCTGACTGCTTGCCTAGGGTACAAATGACAGAGAAGTCTGACAGTTTCTCTCAGTACCAAGTGCATTTATTACAGTCGCTCCCCTTGTATAAATGGCACGTCCTTCCTGCCCGGGTCCCCACTAACCATTTTCTTGGGCCTTTGTCTCAGGGGAAGTTGTCATTTAGGAGTTGCAYAAACTGCCAGAATCTCATGGGAATTCTGCCTCTAGGGAGCAGCTGCTCCTGCAGCGACACGAGGCTGGTTCAGGCCCCCCTGCCCAGACACTGCGAAATCTTAAGAGCCAAACCCAAAGTTGCTTGAGTTTCTTGCACAACCCCACAGTCACAGCCGGCCATTTAATTTTGAAGTTTTTATCTTCTACACGGTAGCAGCTCGAGTGAAGCTGCGTTTTTAGCTGTAGCTGAATCCCCTATTCCTAACTGGGCGCTGAACCATGTTCCTCCTCTCCTGTAGCTATAAATGGCAGCAAAGAGCAAGGAGTTGGGTTCCTCACACGTGCAAAACCCCAGGCTTCTCAGCCAGGGCCGCAGCTGAGGTAGCAGCCACCAGCAACATGGCTTTGACCCACAGGGAAGCTCCAAAGAGAGGCACCTTCAGCACGCGGCGTTACCTGCTCTGCTCCGAGCTGCTGGAGCCTGGAGGACCTGCGTGTTCCTGCTGATGGGCGGCTCTCGCTGCGGCCTGCGCGGGCGGTGGGCCCGTAAATAGGAAGTTGCTAATAAATCTCCACACGGCCAGGAGAGGATAGAGGATCGTGCCCAGGAACTTCCACAGGTCCCCACCCGAGGCCTGGACCACAGACGATGCAGGTCGTCCYGCCTGTCCGCGAACACACAAAGCAAATGGGAAGACAGTGCAGGGAGTCGGGCAGACCGCTCCATGCATAATTGAGAAGCAGCTCCCTGGTTACTCATTAGACAAAAATACCTTCCCACCACATATCTGCAGAAAAATCCCCCAAATAAGTATTGCTTTTTTTTTTTTTTTTTTTATTTTTT